ATATCAAACAGTTACACAAACATTTCGTTTGTGAGAAATTCTTCTCACGTGTATTTTATATGTCAACCAAACAACCACTAATTTACTTCTCAAAACCACCCAACGAAAAAGTACAAAGTTTAAATAAAAAGACCTTTTAAGGTACTACATACATACATGCTTCATAAACTTATCCATAGACCATAGACCTCAATTATACCCAAAAGTCATAATTATACAAATTTATCAGAAATACCAAAGATGGAACTAACAAATTAACACAATTAGATCAATCTAATTTAACTTAGATAATTAATTAACTTCATAAACTTGTCCATAACATAATTAAACTTCCAAATCCACTCTTAAAACGTACATTTCACAACCAAAGCAGCCAATTAACCGAAGTAGTAATACGATCATCTTAAAACAGGCGGCCTACTAGCACGAAGATTAATAAAATAAGCTCTAGGATCACTTTCAAATGGAGATCTTGGTATGATAACTCTCCCACCTCGTCCAGGAGCCTTCATCATCCTTGAAGATCTCCTTCCACAACAACAAAAAAACCCGAAAACCCTCGTGCAAATGCGCCACAAAAGCATGAAGAACCCCCAAATAAGGCTCCACACCATGACCACAACCCATATGATACAGCTGACTATTGCTGGCAAGCAGCAGCAACAAAACAAACAAATGAAAATGACCCCGAGACAGGCGATCACGAAATGGGGGAGCGCCTCGTCGAGTTTGGCGAGGAGGGAATGAAATAAGTTGGGGATCAAAGATAGCCAGTCATTGAGGTAGAGGAGGATTGTGTTAAAAATGTCATTTGGTGATGGTATAGGTGATTGTATGGAATTAGGGTATTGGTTTAGTTTCAATAAAAGGTGGTTTGCCATTCTCATTTTTTTTTTCTTTTCTTAAGCTAGGTTTGAACCATTCAAGGCTGCTATATGGTAGTGATGGAATTATTAAGGGGGAATATATACTACGGAGTAACTCCGTTTATATCACTTAATCAAACGTCCTCACTCGAGGGGTTAGTTGTATGGGAAAATGTTATATAACATTTATATTAAGGCCGATACTGTATGACAGGCCGATATTGTTTTATAGGCCGATATATTATTTGAGTCCGGTTCATCAATAATTCTTGTTAATATCGGCATTTATATATAAAGGATACATATCGGCATACAAGCAGTTGACACGTGCCGTTCTCACGTTTGACACGTGGCAAAAATTACTTTGCCTATTAAACTGCCACCCGTCACTTAATCAACCTATAAATAATCTGGTTTTACCTCATAAATAAGGTAGCATTTATTACACACTCTCTCTCTCTCTTACTACTTTCTCTCTCTAAATAATCTCTTTCTTCTTTCTATAAACACTTGCTGACTTAATCTTTGGAGTGGTTATCCTCGGATTCACCCCGGGGCTAGCTAATCTCTTCCCTGTGTGTAGGTTCTTGTTTGACCGATAAGAGCAGAACGGGTTGTACACTCGAGCTTCGGATCTTGGATTTGGGTCATCGGATTCCTGCAGAAACACTTAATATGCAAATTTTTAAGCAATATTATTTCTAATTAACTATTCGTAGGACTAATTCCTATATTTTTGAAAATCTAAGTTTTAAATTTTCTTTTGAGAGAAAAAATCTAAGTTTAATATAAGGAAACTGAGTATTGTATATAAGCATTAAATACAAATTAGAAAATCGTATAAAGTTAGGAAATTATAAAAATATAAATCTAATTACATTGATTTACGCGTATTTTTATCATATATTCATCGTTTTAAGAGTGTATTTAATGCTTATATATAACCTTTAGGGTTACAGATAGTATTACCCTTAAAATAAATTATTATTCTTACAAAAAAAAAAGTACGAAGACTTAAATAGATCGACCAATAAGGATGAGAGTAGACTTATAGAAGACTTATAAAGAGTAAAAAATTTAGAGTAACAACAAGTAGAATAAAGTTCTAAAGATTATCGGTTATTTTATTTGTATAGTGATTATTGATTAGTAGGAGTGGGCCTTTTTTGGTGAAACTTTATTATACATCCTCTAATGTTATTTTAATTGTTACCTAATGACCAAAATTGACGTTCATAACAGTTTGGAGAATGATTCAATTGTATTGACGCATACCATACATCAAAACTCTCAACAGTAGATTTATATTTCTCAGATCTATATTGTTGTAAGGTTTTGATGATGACAAACAAACAATAAGTTCCTTTATTGTTTAATTCTTCCCAGGTAGAGTAAACACAAGGAGTTAAAGAGAAGCTTGAAAGAAAGCTAAATCAAGAGAATTGAAGACTAAGCAATTCCTACATACGTGTTAGTTAACCAAGCAACTCATAAATTCACTTCTCATGAATTTGTATTTTCCCATTACAATTAGTTTCCTAATAAAACTGACTAGATTGTGAGAGAAGTTTTTTTTTTTTTTTTTGAATAGGTGAGAGAAGCTTAAATTGGTCTTCGAGTTACATCAAGAAATAGAAAAGATATATAGTGTCAATAGTGATAGTAGATTCCCAAAATTAGATAGTGATAGTAATCCCACCGAACTAGTAAATCCTGATCAAGTAACCCCTATGACCTAGTAACCCCTCCGACCTAGTACCCTTGACCGGATCTAGTAACCCCACCTAGTAATCCCTAACCGAACCTAGTAACGCCTGACCAAATAACTCTTGACCGGACCTAGTATCCCCTGACCAAGTAGCTCCTGACTGGAGCTTGACCGGACCTAGTAACCCTTAACCGACCTAATAACCCCTAACTTAACCACCAATTCCAACGCTAAAGTAGCCACCAATTCCAACCACCACAACACAATAAAAAAATAAATACAAATTAAATAATCAAAATGAAATACCCCAAAATCCAAACTCCACTCATAATTTCATTACCCAATACAAGTACCAACCCACTAAACTTTTAAATTAAAAATGGCGATTTCGCCTCATCCTTGTCGCATATTCACCTCCATCGACCTTCGCATATTCATTCATCTTCTGCATGCTCCGGCCGATGGAGAATTGACAATGGAAGCGGAGGATGTGTGGCTTTCGACAACCCGACGCTAAAATTGGGCGGCCATGGAAGACATTGGAAGAGAGCAAAAGAGAGAACTTTAGGGGTTGAGATTGGTGATGTGTGGGCTAACTTGAGAAGAAGAAAAGAGGAAAGAGAAAAAGGAGAGAAAAAAAAAATATTGTGGCTGGCCGCGCGGTAGGGCTAGCCACATATATAACTTTGTGAATTCAATTAGTCTTAGGGTCTGTTCGGCAAAACTAGCTGTAGCTGTTGGCTATTAGCTTTTGAGTAGCTGCGAGCTGTAGAGGTAGCTGTAAGCTGTCAAGTACTAGGTGTTAGAGGTCAGCTGTTAAGGTAGCGGTTCATACTATGGGTGTTCGGTAAAAGTAGCGATTGAAACTATAAAATACGGTCATTATTATTATTATTATTATTATTATTATTATTATGTCGTGTTATGTATCAAATGTTTGATAATTTTAAATATTACATAGTATAATATATATTGATAATAAATAACCAATTTAAAAAATAAGATAGAAAAAAAATACTCCTCATAAAATGAAAGGAAAAAAAAAAGAAAAAAAGATATGAATAGAAAAATTTGATATTATGGTTGAATGAAACAAATAACACTGAGTCAAAAGATAAAAACATAAAAATAAAATATAAAAAAAAGAAAAAAAAAAAGAAAAAGGTTGAACGCTACTTTACAATTTCAAAAGCTATCTTTTCTAGCTTTCAACAACAACTACTTAAAAGCTACCTCTACCTTTAACAGCTACTTAAAAACCTATTTCACCAAACACTAATATTATTTTAAGGTAGTGTTTTGACTAGGTTTAAAAGCTAACAACTACCTTAAAAGCTAATGACGAACATGCCCTTAATTTCTTCTAGAGTACATACTATAAACATGGTACTTTGTCATACTAGGTTGATCATAACCTCATACGTATATAAAGTATTTTTTTTTGTTTTATAGCATGTTTTAAATTTACTGAAAAAATTAAATTAATCCTATACATGTACTGAATTATAAGGCTAGTTTTTTTTTTCAATAAAAAAGTAAGACATAGCATTATGGTTTGTGTTTTTTTTTCACACATTGTTATAGATATAGATTTTTTTTTTCACACATCGTTATACATAAATATTAATTCTTATTTCCCATCATATAATCAAATGCATGAGTTTTTTATCCAAAAATAAATAAATAAATAAATGCATGAGTTGAAAGAATGGATCTAGATGGATTCGAACCACCAACCTCCCAAACATAATTTGGGCACTCTTTCCACTTAGAGCTTATAGATCATGAATCACCTCACATCACATGAAATTTTTTCTAAGGCCTTCTCATAACAGGAGTACAAGACTATACCGTAGCTCCAAAAAAACAAAAAAAAAAAAAAAAAACTTTGCAGGCTAACAGCACGGCGCAGCTCAACACGCAATATAACCAACAAGTCTTACTTGCCCGTTGTCATTTGTTTCAAGCCTTCATCCTCTCCTAACATCCTTACCCAATAATTTGCTAAGCTGAACAGTTTGTGAGACTGTGATACAAAGAATCAAATAACCATACAACAATCAAACTGATTGCTATGAGCATAATCATCATCTTCTACTCCCACGAAGTGTAACACAAAGGAACTTCAATTTTATAAATTTAATAATAAAAAATGTAAAAAAAAGGCAGAGAAGACATATATTGAGCAGCTCGTCGTGTGTGCGACCGGCCACACCGTGTGACCACTTAAAGTAACCCTGTAAATCTGTAATACCAATCAAGTAATCCCTATAACAGTGACCGAGTAACTCTATAACAATGATGAAGTAATAACCCCTTTAACACTTATCAAGTAACCCCCATTACACTAGCAAAGTAACCCCTATAGTGGCTGACCACACCGTGTGGCCAGCCACATATAAGACTTTGTGATATTTGAGATATAGTCACAATAAACAAAATCAATCAAGGAATATTATTGATAGGTGCACTTTGACAACAGCTAATAAGCGTTGAATCGTTGAAGTTGTGACATTAGCAAAACACATTAAGCATCAACAATCAATACTTCAATTATTCTTGAATGCTTTGGCGTTAAGAGAACATTTTCAGTTTACATTCGACTGTAAATAAGTGTTGTCACCAAACTATCAGAGCTTTCTAATGAGAGTTTTGATAGTGCCTCATTGGTAGGCGAACGATCTAATGCATAACTAACGAATGGCTACAGTTGTAAACTTGTGCCGATGAGATTCTTTGAATCAGAACAGCAACTTGGCCAATGGCCACAGAACATTAGAGAATCAAACAGTCTGGCACCTAGTATGTATAAAACCTGTAGAAAAAATTCTAATACAAAAGTGTATACAGACTACAGAGAATTATACAATTTCTATTACACCACTAATTGCAAACACATGCAAGACTCAACACCCTTGTTCTCAGTTGACAGTGATGTAAAATGCAAAACACAGGCAACAAAGATCAGAAATAAAAAATAATTCAAATATTGCTCGGTAATAGACTGTTTAAATTAATTTGAGCATCAAGTTGCCTGAACTGAATGCATAACAAATAAACTTAGAATCTACTTCAAGGATTATGATGGATGAAGCTATGAAACTAAATATTTCCAAGGTTGGGACACATTACCAAATAACCCCAAAGGATATCCAATCAAAAAATATAATCCGTATGGAGTAACAACGTACACATATAATGAATAGGTGCAGCGTACACATAGAGATGGTTAGTGTAGTACATATAACCAAGGATCAGTACATCATACAATCCAGTGGCCAGCGGCATATATGACCTATCTGTACAGCTAACAAAGTAGTAATCACATATTCTATTTAGCAATACCCTCTACAAATTGCGTTGAAGTTGCTTAATCAGAGTAATCACATCTTATATACATATATGCAATAAGATAGAGATCTGTATGTAGCTTTCCACATAAGAATGTTCATGAAGTAAGTTTTGTATGCTTGACTTTCTGAATATAAATTAAGTTCTAAAGAAGCAGAATTTCTCAATATATGCACTGTACAATTCAAGACAATTGTAGGAATCCTAATTTAGAAAGATTCAAAGAGCAGGGACAACAATTATATAACTCCTTGATGTCAAGGGACAAATGAAGAATAACGACACCACCTTAACCTTTGCAGATAACACTGCAATATAAATTGTACTGAGTAATAAAATAGGGAACTTAAAAATGATTTTGATAAATATACCTTGGCAAAATTGGATTTGGCATAAATTTTCTACAAAGAAATCGTTTTGACAGTGAATTTGCTCTATACTGGTGGCAATAGCGTGGAGTTTGATGATTCAAGCGCATAAGGGTGCAGGGAAAGGGAGAAAAATACAAAAAAAACAGACACAACACGCACACGGTTGGGAGAGCCGGGAAAAACCCCATGCCATCTCCCAACAAAACCACAAAAAAGATCTTTTTATTAACATTGATGACCTGCCATGCAAGCGCACCCGACATGGCAAAGGTCGACTAACAAGACCAATTCACAAAACTAAGGAAAACACTCCATTCTCCTCAACACACCGACCATACAAACTAATACTACCACTTTCTCATCCACATATCATAAAACTCACCAATAGCACATATACTGTAAGTAAATTTTTTCACTGTGAAGTACAAATTATATGAACACACCATAAAATTTGGATTGCCAAACCGCGGCGCAGCCATCTTATATAGCCCTATCAGCCTGCTGAACCGTGCAGAACATCCGACTCAATCAAGACCAAACCATTAGTCCGCACATCAGAGCACTGCAAAAGTCCTGGTTCCAGCAAGCTATAAGTTGATTGCATAATTTTCAATCAAATACTAGAAATCAATACGCTGAAGCTAAACATATAAATTCGTCTAACCAAACAATCAAAGATGAATCATCTTTATAATATTGTGTAGCCGAACAATCAAAGATGAATCACGCTTCTTGAATCGCATGAAATCAATTTCATACATGAACTTTTAATTTCAAATACAAAACTATAAAGATTAAATATAATATTCATCACATAGCAAAATAGAATCAATAGAACGAAAACAATAGCCAATTTCACAGTTTTCCAACAATAAAGACAGATATATGCAGCAATCAAATTCTTGAAATAACCTAAATTCACAGAGTTATGTTCAATCCAAATAGAAAAATTAACCTAAACTGACATAAATATTCGTAAATTTCAATTAATATATACTAAATAAATAACGTAAAAATCATACGATTAAGCAATAAATTCAGCGGTCTTATTCTTAAATTGATATGATTGAATAACAATAATCAAACAGATAAATCGATTCAAATAAAGGCAGAGACAACTTATTCGAATCAAATTCAAATCTCCCACGCCAAACGAATCATAAAATTCAACCAAAATCAAGCGAAAACACCGATAAATTTCAATTAAAAAACCATAATTACTTCATTTAAATTATAATTGAATAAATAAGATCAGATAATAAATTATTACCTCCGTAATCGATTGAATCTCCAAAAAATAAAGAAATCAAGAATCGACGTGAATCAAATAAATCACTGAACAATTAATCAATGAATTTGAAGAACGATTAGGATTAATTGATTAAACGAAGAAAGATTAATGGATTACGGAGTAATTTGAAGAACGAAAAATTGTTTCGAGAAATCTGATCGAGGAGAGAGAAAGGGAATCAGAAAACCGGTAAATGTATCGATTAATATAGTGGATCAAGAAAAGTAATGGACGGGTAAGATTGCATGCTTAATAGATGATCGGACGGTTGTGCGTGCAGTTAGTTGTCTGGTAGGACTTGGTACAAGTTTGGCGGAAAAAAGGAATTAGGCCACGTCATTAAGCCGCGAATAGTATTATTCCCTTCCTTTCGCATTAATCATAACATTAGGTTGACTCAAAGTTTAAGGAAATTATAGATTAGGCTTATAAACTTATAATATAACGTATTGTTGGTAAAAGAGTTAATAATAAAAAAAAAGTGGTGTGTGTGGTGTTGGTAAGATAGAGAAATAATAAAATATTTGTGAAAGTGGGGTTAATGGGAGAGATAAATTATAAAATAATAATAGATCCTTTTCAAATATAGAAGTGTTGCATTTAATATGAAACGATGTGAAAGAAATGTGTTGCAATTCATACGAAACGGAGGGAATATGTGATAAGTAAAGGTCTGTTCTCTTCAGCTTATTTTTAGTTTAGTTCAATTCTGCTCCAATAAGTTCAGTTCAATTTTTATCTTAGTTTCCCTCTATCATAAAATATTTAGTTCAGCTCAGGCTCTAAATATAATTTCTACTTTTTGTATTTGAATTACTAGATAAAAGGGCATGTGATATAGGGGTTTTTAATTCATAAATTAAAGTGACTTTTGTTTGCTTAGCGCCTTTTATGTGCGGAAAACCACACCATATGGTCGCTTATAAAATAACAAAATAACTCCTAAAACACTGACAAATTAATCCCTGTAATATTTGTCAATCAACCTTTATAGCACAAACAAAGTAATTGCTATGATGGCTGGTCATACCGTGTGACTAACTAACCGCATACAAAAATTTGTGTTGCTTTTATACCAATGAATATTTTTAATTGCAAATTTCTTTAATCTCGCATTAATAAAAACTATATATATCAAAATTTGGCATTATATTTACTTAGACGAATTAAACTAGATCCAATATGACTAAATGTATTCTTTATAAAAAGTTAAAACTTTCCCTCTCATTTTTTCATAGTAAAAAAATTCTTTATGAGAAGATCATTATGAAACGAAGAGGCTATTTATTATTATTGCAAAATCGAAATTTCGTCAAACTTGGAACAAACTACTTAGGATTGGAGAAGAATGTAGTACAAATGTACAATACATACCCAAATTAACATAGACAATTCATGCCGCTAGAAGATACATAGTATAAAAGATACTACCTCCGTTACAGGTTATGTGCAATAATTAGACATTTTTCCTTTCTGTTTTATGTCAAATCGTTGCACATAATCTGTAACAGAAGTAGTACATTAGTAGTAACTTATAATTTGGTTTTTGAACTTAGAAAACGTAATTGATAAAGCGGGATTTAAAGTTAGGAGATAATGCGGAAAGTACCAATTTGGGGAAAAAAACCCATAAATCCAAAGCTTTATCATTGGCACGTTACAGAAATGTAGCAGCAGACTATTATAACAAGGAACTAATTATCCATGAAAACACAAGATTTAATTTCTGAACCACAAGATTATTACTGTAATTACTATCCCATTTAACTTAACAAAGGTACCTTACCAGCACGAAGATTCATAAAATAAAACTTAGGATTGCTTTCAAATACAACTCTTTTCATAACAAATTTCCCAGCCGTTCCAGGTGCCTTCATCATTTTATTAGATGCATAATCAAGGGTTCTAATAAATTCCCTTGGTTGAGGTGCTTTTGCCTTATTCTTGTGTTCGTCTTTATCTGAAGAGCTTTCACCGGACACGAGCTTGTACATTCCCCATGCTAACATTGCTACTCCAGCCACCGCGGCTCCAGCCATACCGATGTTTTCGGCCAAGCTATTACTCCCCTCTCCATCATCCTCCTCTTCTCTTATGTTGCTGAATGATTTTTCTTGCCTTATGAGCTCAGCCACCTATCACCATTAAATGAGCAAAGATATGTGTTAAGAGATCATCGCAACCAACCAAAAGGTTAAGCTAAGAGTTAAAGACCGATATTGGTTTATATACGTTATCAAAATAAATAAACTTGATTCAAGATTCCCCTACAGTACAGCTACTGCACTTATGAATTTGTTGAACTAATTATTTTTAGGTGTGTATGTACTTCATACTTCGTATATAATATTTGGTAGAGTATAAAACATATTTGTAGGTCTTAACCATCAAGTTAAATTAGTGGTTGAGTTGATCATTTAACATGGTATCAGAGTCAGCGTGACACAAAGCATCAACTTAATCTTTAGGACTTTTGGTGAGGTTGGTCCTTTAACAAAATCAGAGAGCTGATACGCACATACAATCATTGTATGTTGTCCCTACATACAACTCCACTAGAAATTTGACACATTATTAAAAAAATAAGAGAGAAAATTAGAATTCAAATATAAATTGAATTGTAATGGAACATGAGCCCGTTATTATAGCCAATAAAAACATGACAAAGTAAGGTTGTATATAGGAACCATATACAACAGTTGTATGTGTAGCCTTTATCTATTTTCTCAATTTCATTAACAATTTACTCTTTATGTGTTGATGATATGACATGTAGTTAATTGAGATATTATAAAAGGAAAAAAACTAAATTGTGTAAAGTTTCCAAAAATCAAACTTTTATGAGACCAAATAAATGCAAAAGAGAATGGTATTGTTGAAGTAATTAAACGAATGGAAAACTTTTACTCCGTACGTTAATTAGTTTGACTTAATAAATTCTGATAAGACTTTTTTCCCTTCATTTTTAGTGGTTTGATATGATTTGATTTGGTCTAAAATCTCTCTTATTAATATGATAAAAAAATTTTTTGATGTCGCCTCCTATTTTAAGTTGATTTTTGCATAGTTTGAACTGATTAACAATAAGAACAACGTGATTAAAATAAAACATAAGTCAACCGTACAAACGTTGGCATCAAAATTATTAACATAAGAAGAGGCAAAATAGTCAATTAAGAGATCAACAGACCTGAGGAGGAAGATCAAAATAGGTGGTGTTTGGGTCCAATTTAGTCCAATTGGGCCTAGGCATTAAATGATCCAATTAAAAGCCCAAGGTCAAGGTTCAACTCTCCAATTGTGCTAAAGTCAAAGGTCAGCCCTCAAAGCAAGCCAATTGGGCTAAGGCCCAACTTCTCCATGTATGAAGAGGTATAAAAGCCATCAATATTCATATAGTCACATTCATTCACATATTCTCATATATTCTCATAACTCAAGAAAAGCCTCAAGCAACTAATTCTCTTGCATAGTGTTCTCTTTCTACACATTGTACTGACTTTAGCATCGGAGGGGCCTTCCTCGGCAACACCCCCGAGGCTAGTTTACGTGTGTTTACTGTGCAGGAAACCTTCGGCCCAACATTACTTGGACCGAATCCAGTCTTCTCCGTTTCAGCGGACCTTCGGCAAGGTCCCATTGTTTTCACCCGAAACAATTTGGCGCCGTCTGTGGGGAAGACTTTCAAAAATTTTTAAGCCAAATTTCTAACCAAGATCATCTTGCAATAATCTTAGTAGCAATGGCTAAGAACCGCAAGAGCAAAGGCCTCCGTCAAGGAGCGGGCGAAAAGCCTAAAACCCCTACACCATCACCCTCGCCGGACCGGAACTCTCCCAAGGGTTCCAGCTCGGGGGGAGGATCATACAAGGAGGATTCCCTTTCTCCCGTAATTCATGACTCTCATCATAGGCCGAGTCACTCTCGGTCTAGCAGGGGTGAGTCCGATCATAGGACACATTCAGTGCCCCAAAGCCAACCATCGGCTGTGCGCCCTCATTCCCATACTCGGCCGAGGACCCCTTTGACGGGGCCTAGCTCGGAAGAGGTGGCAAGAGCGCTGGCAGTGCTCATGGAGGCGATGAGGGCACAAAATATGCCACCACCTCGTGATCGAACTCCTCCGCATACCCGGCATCAGCGGAGGAAGCTAGACCATGATGGTGGGAAGCTTCCTTCCTTCCGGGAACTGGAAGAGTGGGAAGAGGATTCCTGGAAAAATGAAAAAGAGAGGAAAAAGAACCCTCAATTTTTAAAAGGATCCTCATCCTCACGACCAAAAGCGCATAAGAGCAGCAGCTCAGCTTCTCGGCCAGAATTTACTCACCGAGAACCTGAGACTGTTCGCCGAAGCGTCCTCGACCGACTCGGCGGCAAGGAACCGAGCGTGCGCAGTCGCCTCTCGTTCCCTGCAGCCGAGGCCCAGACTTCCCAGCCAGGGACGAAAACCACTCCTACCTCTCTAAGAGGGCGGAGCGCGGTCCCTTCGGCCAGGAACAAGGGCAAGGCCGTTATGCTACCCGCCAGTTCACCATTCAAGCAATGGATACTGGAAGAGCGCGTGCCCACGGTTAAAATACCGTCGCACATCACATATGACGGGACCTCGGATCCGAAGGATCACGTGGCCTCGTATGAGACTCATATGCATCTTTGCCCCAGATCCGAAGCGACTTGGTGCAAATATTTCCCAACCACTCTCAAGGGGGTCGCGCAAGCGTGGATCTCCAAGGGAGTAAGGCAAGGCTCCATAACAGGGTGGGATGATCTGTCCTCCAAGTTCAGGAGCAAGTTTTCCACGGCAAACCGCCGAGAGAAGACTACTGCAGAGCTCATGAGTCTACAACAGGGGGAAACCGAAAGCCTCCGAGACTATCTGACCCGTTTCAGTAACGAGTCATCCAGCGTCTCTCAGTTGGACCAGGGGCTAGCCGTTTTTGCAATGCAGAATGGCCTTCAGCCCGGAAAGTTCCTAGACTTCATGGTCATGCATACCCCGCAGACCTTGGAGGAAGCTCTGAATGCCTCGGATAAGTTCATCCGAGCCGAAGAATGGAACAAGGCGAAAACCCAACCTCAATTTGGGGGAGGCAAACAAAGACAAATACCCTTGTCTGAAGGCCAAGGCCATAAGGCAAAGGGAAAGTCAAAGGCCTCGGAGCAATCTTCGGCCA